GATGCCGTCCTCAGTCCCCAGCACGGCCGCCAGACCGATCCGCACCATCTCGTGGTCATCGACGAGCAGCACTTTAATCATGGGTGTTTCCATTTCCAAGATCCTCACTCCCTGCTTTGTCTTCAGATACAATCGGCACGGTAATTTCGATTCGCGTACCCTTGCCGGGCGCCGTAATGATTTGGATCGATCCGCCGATTTCATTGACGCGTTCCTGCATATTGGAAAGGCCGTAAGAGGCCTGTTTTGTCTCGTTTAGTTCGAAGCCCTGGCCGTCGTCACGCAGCATGACCCAGACCATGTCTTTCTTTTGGTGAATCCGGATTTCCATCTTATCCGCTTTGGCATGCCGGAGCGTGTTAGACATCGCTTCCTGGATGATTCGGAACAGATGGTTTTCGATTCCTTTTACCAAGTGGATGCCTTTGTCCATTTCAAACACGATTTCCATCGGAACCTTCACTTTGAGCTCTTTGATCAGCTCGCCGAGGCCTTGCTCCAGCGGCTTGCCTTCCAGATAGACCGGCCGGAGATGCAGCAGCAGCGCTCTCATTTCCGATTGGGCCACGGCGGCCATTTCTTCGATGAGCGCCACCTGGCGCTGAGCCTTGTCAAAATCCTTCTCAAGCGTCCTCCCCACGGCCGTCGCCGTCATCGATATCGCAAACAGCTGCTGGGATACCGCATCATGCAGCTCCCGCGCCAGCCGCTGGCGCTCCTCTACGATCGCCGATATCCGCGCCTGCTCAGCCAACTGGGCATTGTTCGTGGATAAGCGCTGAAGGGAGTTGACCTGCTCCTCCCACTTTTTGCTGATGCGCCCAAGCTGCTCGCCAAGGCGCCCGACCTCGTCGCTGCCAAGCTCCGGCACGGAGCGGGCGACGTTCCCTTTTTCCCAGGAGAGCAGCGTCTCCCGCAGCCGTTCCAGCTTCATTTTGACCCGGTAGCTCTGATAGAACCCGAAGATAGCTCCCAGACCGATCGGAACCAGGATCAGCGTAGCACCGGCCTGCAGCGTTTTTTGCCAAGAATCAAACGGGGCCAAATAACCATATGTATAAAGCACGTAAAAAATGATCAGGAGCATAACAAAAGAAAGAAGGGCCCCCTCGCCCATGCTCCGGGAGACCATATTAGCCGGTTTTCGGGTTTTCATCAGGGAACCCTCCTCCTATGACAGATCAATATCAACATCTCCTACCAGGTAGGAAATATGGAATTTAACTTTGTATTCGCTGGTCTCATAATTAGGGGATTTCCAGTTCAAACGGTTCATCAAGCCGTTATCCCGGTGCCCTCTGAAATCGATCGCGCCGAACAGGACGAACACTTCAAGCTCCACCCCGTAATACTCCGGAATTTTGATGTCCGTATCCCCCATGATGCCTTGAAACATCATCACCGTACGGTGTTCCTCGGGGATCGCAAGCGATAAATCCAGATCGGCTTCGTTGATAACATGCCAGACGCTCTGGCTTCTCATAGCCCAAGGGACCTGGTCCCAATTGTAATGCCCCGAAAATCCCTGCTTCTGCAGGTACCCATCCCGGTTCTGCACCTTCCTTGCCTTTACAAAAAACCATCCCAGGGAGATCAGCGCAATCCCCAGCACGATCAGCAAATGATCAATCAGCAGCAGGATGGCTCCGACCGCCACAAGACGGTAGCCTCTCTTCACTTTTCCGCCGCGAATCGTATAAATTCCCATAAGAATGAATAAGAGGGCGACGATGGTAAAAAAGCCGACCCACCTGCCGAAGAGCATGAGGAGGCCGATCCCGATGAGAATCAGCGCAATGAAGCGATTTCTTTTTTCCATGCCGCACCTCCTTATGATGTCTTGGTTTATCGGAAAAGTAAGACCGGAAAAGCCATAGGGTTGTGACGGGCACACTCCTTATGGCTTCACCGGGATCCAGGAAGATGTGAATGAGGTCTCGCGCCCTTATTCCATTCTTCCTAGCATATCATATTGTCCGCAGAATTGAATACTTATTCTTTATTCGATTTGGAAGGAGCGGCAGTCGTCGGGTTCAGCTTGCTTTTCAGCGCGCTGAGCTGTTCTTCCACCTTCAGCTGCTTCTCCGCATCGACCGGGCTGGTGAAAGCGGATGTTTCCGGACGGTAAGGGGCACGCATCACATCGGCTTCAGCTTCCATTTGCATGATCTTTTCTTCCATGCGGTGGAATCCAAGGGACGCGCTGCCGCTTTCGATCGTATGCAGGCTGCTGATTTGAG